GGAGTAGTCCATTAATATATGGGGCCCTGAAAGGAATTGGTACAGGACTATGACCCCAATTTCTACAGATGAGCTGTCATTTGTTTTTTCTCTCCTCATCTGTTGCTATGTTCTGATAAACTGATTCTACAATTTGCTGGTGTTTAAGAAAGTTGAACCAAAGGAATGAACTGTTTCCCAAGGCAGGGGGCAATCTACATTCAAACATACATGACAGGCCATGCTATGTTGGATTTCATCTGCAGAGGGGATAGTCTGCCCCTTTCTACAGTTTGCTGGACTTGCACAAAAAGGTCTGTAAGTTTTTTTGTCATTTCTGTTTTGGCAGGACAAGATAGCAGCTGCATGTAGAGTTCTGAGCATTCCTGAGTGCATCTTGTTTACTTTGGCCAGATAGAGATCTGGCCCATTGCTGAGGCTGCATTTTTTCTAGAACACATCAGAACGTATGTGTGGCATATGACATGGAATAGAGCCAATCTGGTGGATATGAGTGGATAAGATCAGGAACGATATTCCTTTGTTACAGTTGAGAATGAAATGTGTGGGGCAGCTTCTTTGGAGTATCCTATGGTGCACGATTATAACTTGAAGATCGTGTCCATGGTGTGCAGAATCACTTACATGAGTGTGGTGGTGTTGGAGGAGGTGTTCACTGTCTCACAGATAAAAGAATAAAATATATAATGCATATTATAGAAGATAAATTAACTTTTCAGTCAACAATATTTCTTATTTGCAGTATGTAATATATATTTTCACATTTTTGTTTATATGAATTGTGTCATTTAAATCCCTGAGTACTTGGAAATCACATGGTGGACTTTATAAATGTATTTACACTGTTCAAAAAAAAAGTAAAGGAACACTTTTTATTCAGAGTATAGCATCAAACAAATCAGACTCTTGGGATATTGGTCTGGTCAGTTACATAGCAGAGGGGGTTGTTTAATCAGTTTCAGCTGCTTTTAGCTGAAATTAACAAAAGGTGCACTAGATGGGCAACAATGAGATGACCCCCAAAACAGGAATGGCTTTACAGGTGGAGGCCACTGACATTTTATTCCTTACTCATCTTTTATGATGATTTTTCACTATTTTTGCATTTGGCTAGGGTCAGTGTGTCACTACTGGTAGCATGAGGTGATACCTGGACCCTACAGAGTTTTGCACAGGCAGTCCAACTCCTCCAGGACGGCACATCAATACGTGCCATTGCCAGAAGGTTTACTGTGTCTCCCAGCACAGACTCAAGAGCATGGAGGAGATTCCAGGAGACAGGCAGTTACACTAGGAGAGCTGGACAGGGCCATAAAAGTCCTTAACCCATCAGAAAGATCGGTATATGCAACCTTGTGCAAGGAGGAACAGGATGAGCACTGCCAGAACCCTACAAAATGACCTCCAGCAGGCCACTGGTGTGAATGTCTCTGACCAAACAATCAGAAACAGACTTCATGACGGTGGCCTCCAACATCCTCTAGTGGGCCCTGTGCTCACTGCTCGGCACCATAGAGCTCAACTGACATTTCCGTTGAACACCAGAATTGGCATGGCAGGTCCGCCACTGGCGCCCTGTGCTTTACACAGATGAGAGCAGATTCACCCTGAGCTCATATGACAGACGTGAAAGGATCTGAAGAAGCCGTGGAGAACGTTATGTTGCCTATAACATCATTCAGCATGACCGTTTTGGTTGTGGGTCAGTGACGGTGTGGGGAGGCATAACCATTGAGGGACACACAGACCTCTACAGGGTAGACAATGGCACCCTGACTGCCATTAGGTATCGGGATGAAATCCTTGGAGCCATTATCAGACCCTACGCTGATGCAGTGAGTCCTGGGTTCCTCCTGGTGCACGACAATGCCCGGTTTCATGTGGCAAGAGTATGCAGGCAGTTCCTGGAGGATGAAGGAATTGATATCATTGAATCACTCCCATGTTCGCCTGACCTAAATCCAATAGAACACCTCTGGGATATCATGTTTCGGTCCATCCAACTCCGCCAGGTTGTACCTCAGACTGTTCAGGAGCTCAGTGATGCCCTGGTCTAGATATGGGAGGAAATACCCCAGGATACCATCCGTCGTCTCATTAGGAGCATGCCCCGACACTGTCAGGCACGCATACAAGCACATGGGGGCCATACAAACTACTTAGTTGCTGCAATGAAATACATATATATGGGTTCGACTTCAAGTGTAGAGCTCACAGATAATCCGAGCATCAAGTGAGTTTAAAAAGGCTTCCTGTACGCGTTTATTGGTCAGCGTTGCAACAAAAAATAACAATACAAGAGGTTTCCTCGCAGGGGAAATATTCACAGTCAAAAAAACATTATCTACCAGAAAAATGATTAAGCCTCCTGGCTAGTAGATATAGCCCTCTGGGTTTGCTTCAGATGTTCAGACTCGTTTCATCATGGTCTCCTTGCATCTTTTCTCAAAAACAACAACTCATTAACCTAGGGAAAGAGCAAATTGCACCCCAGATTGGGAACAAAGTGTGGCCATTGCTTACCCCCTTGCATCCTGCTACAGACCTTTCACTGTCATCTATTTATCTTATGAACCACAAAATCCTATGCGTCAGATACACTCTCCATCCACAGCTGACGGGCTGTTTACTTTACAGTATATACTGCATATTGTATTGATGAATTTATGTTTTATTTTATTTTACAAGATGTGTCTGTCATTTGTTTTGCATACTTTTTGTGTGTTAACTGTTTGCCAACCCCACTCTGTATCTTTACTGCTACAGTACGGGCAGGCTGTGCAAAATCACATATATACATGGTTTTGCTTTTCCAGGTAGAGGGCCAGCCTACCCGCACTGTCATTGGCTCACTGACATGCCGATCAGCAGTTTCCAGCCAATGCTTCACAGCCAGGACCCGCTGATCGTTGGAGCTTGTGACAGAAGAGAGATCTGTTGGTAAACAACACAGATCTTTCTACTGACAGTGGGGATGTGCCAGTTTTTGTTTCCCTGCAAGCAGGGAGACAAAAATTGTCACAACCCCTAGGAAAACAGCACACGTTGCACACATCACATATAGTTAGGCACACAGTTAGCCCTTTTATTTCCCCAGATGTTAACCTCTTTCTGCCCAGTGTCATTAGTACAGTGTCAGCAGAGGCGTCCCTAGGGTTGGTGTCACCTGGTGCGGTAACACGTGGTATCACCCCTCCAGAGAGGAAGGAGCGGTTCCGTTGTAGAGGTAAAATGAGTATCCCAACCTGTGAAGATATGTATCCGCTGAAGCAACTGCACATTTCAGGCCAAAGAAGCCGATCTCCGACTTTAACATCAGTTAACCCCGTATAGGTTTAACCTGTACGGGGTTAACTGATCTTGCAACCCATATTGATTCGCATGATCAGCTTCAGCGGTTTGCAGCCTGTAAGGGGTTAACTGTGGCAGCTCTGTGCTAAAGTCAGAGATCGGCGATCGGCTTCTTTGGCCTGAAACCGGGACACATACGTAGTTGCTTCAGGGGATACATATCTTCACGGGTCTGGGATACTCATTTTACCACTACACCGGGGGCAGCTGTCACTGTGCCGGGAATCCAGGATCACCCCAATAACTGACCTTCACAGAGCCCAGAAACTCTGCTGGCGTCCTGCTCCTGCACCCCTTGTGATGGTGTCACCCGCACCCTCCCAGGGACGCCACTGAGTGTCAATGCATTTTATTAGCACTGATCACTGTATTAGAGTCACTGGTCATGTCAGTGTTAGTTAGCTAATGTCAGAACGCCCACCATACTATCACAGTCCTGACATAAGTTGCTGATCGCTGCCATTACTAGTATTAAGAAATATCCAAATTATATATACCATCATTTGTAGATGTTAACATTTTCAAGCAAACCAATTAATATACACTTTTTACCAAAGACATGTCGCAGAATACATTTTGACCTAAATTTATTAGGGTTTTAAACATTTTTTTGAATGGGATATGTTTTATAGTAAAAAGCAAAAAAATATTTTTTTTTTTCAAAATTTTCGGTTCGTTTTTCATTTATAGCACAAAAAATAAAAAAAAAAACAAACACAGTGGTGATCAAATACTACCAAAAGAAAGCTCTATTTGTGTGAAAAACAATTGTATACATTTCATTTGTGTACAGTGTTACATGACCATGCAATTGTCAGTTAAAGCAGTGTAGTGCCATATAGCAAAAAATGGCCTGGTCATAAAAGAGGGTAAATCTTTCAGAGGGCAAGTGGTTAATTAGCACTGAATATTAGTATTTGATATACTGTATTGAATATTATCTGTGGGTGATACACTGAGTGCGCTGGCTTGCTGTTTTGTCACGTTTGTGTGTTGTTGTTGTACAGCACATTTATTAACACTATGCAGGATTGTGATTGATCACTAAATCACCACAACCACAACCTTTTTTCCTTTTTTTTATCTATCTTTCTTTATTGTCTTTTTCTTCATATGACCACCATAACTAGGAAAGGAAGTAAGGACAATATCTTTAACAAAGACACCAAAGGCAATACAAATCTTCATCCCTTGTTTTTGCGGTCCCTGGTATAGCACCTCCTCCTCCCTGGCAAAACATGTTTTCCCAGTTGTTGAGTGCCTTTTCCCCTCAACCCTGTGGGAATCCATTAAGGTAAAAAAATGTCCAGGCTTTAGGACTACTTGAAGGGTCTGGTATGGAATTTTAAGGCAACTCGCCCATTTTTTTTTTTTTTGTGAGGTAACCCTTTTAAATTCATACCAGACTCAAAGGGTCTGGTATGAAAAAATAGGCGAACCCCCTTAAACTTCATAGCAAACTTTTCAGGCAAACAAGTAAATGTTCAGTTCATCTGAATGCTCAAACAGCCAAAGTTTAAACCTTGAGTTCAGACTGAACCTTATGCTCATCCCTAGTCCTTACCTCCATAGATAATGAGATTTTAAAAAAGACTCAAAATAATAAAACAAAGTAATAAAAGGTGACAGTAATCAATACTTATTTTTATTTAAGCGTTATTCAGGACATGATCAGCAATGTATTTGACAGCTAGCATTGTTTCTTCACAGGTTTCGACAATCTCAGATTCAGGCAGTATGAAGCCATATTTTCCAGTGTCACGCAGCTCAAATGTGAAGGAATATTTAATACCGGTATCATAGGCCCAGTCATCTGATCCTCCAGAGGAAAGATCTAAAAGAAAAATTAAATAAAGAAAAATATTGAACAGTTACTGCAGCATATTAACTCTAATAATACAATGACTATTATGTACAAGACTGCACAACCTGCAAAGCATACAGATATGCAACTAGAGATGTGTGCATTCATTCATACTTCTGAGCAGGGCTTTTTTTCTCAGAGAATCGGTGCAGGTACTCCCCTTTCCAAGTCACCCCTTGTTTCCAACCCCTACCCAACCCTGAACACTGTCCCTTAGTTCCACCCCCTAACCACCTCCCATTACTGCCCCTTTTAGAGAATACAGTACTAAGTATCATATGGAATGTGTTAATGATAACAAGAAGAGCAGTAAAATAGATCCCTTGCAACCAGCAATCATAGACCCCCCACCAACAATAGATTCCCCTATCACCAATATAACCCCCACAACAACAATAGACCATACAGCACCCATCAACAATAGATCCATCCAAACAACAAATAACCCCTCAGAAATAATAGATCACCCACCAGCAACATTAGACCTCCCTGCAGCAATAAATCCCTCCTAGTGACAATATAGCCCCCAGCAGGCAGCAACAATAGACCCTCCTGCACACCCCAGCTCCCCCCCCTGCCTTTACACACATTCAGTGCCAGAGGTACCGAAGCTGCATTCCCCCATGTTCCCGCTGAAAAAAACAGCCTGCTTCCAAGAATTCAAGTCAGATTGCATTAACTCACCTGATGTAGTTTTGAAATCTGGCAGTGATTATTGTAAAGTGAAATTGTGGAGTTTTCACTTGCTGATGACCTTGCACAGGAAATCCCCATACTATTGCATCTCCCTTTCTATCTTTCTCTGTGCCCCTGAATACGTCAAGTGAAGGGCACTGGGCTCCTATTACTGATGGCCTTCAGGTAATGCAGTAGTTGGCCTGGGTACATGTACAACTTCCTTACCCCCTCTAAGCCAAAAGGGACATCGCCACTGCTCAGACTTCCACCCCACCTAGCATCCCTCACACAAAAACCCCCTCAACACTCCTCTCCTTTGACCTGTCCAGACCTCCACCCCACCTAACATTCCTCACACTAAAACCCCCTCAACACTCCACTCTTTCGACCTTGCTACCACTGAAGAGGTCACTAAGGTCTTCTCTGAAGCTCGCCTTACCACCTGCCCCCTTGACCCTGTCCCCCCACAACTCCTACGATCACCCTCCTTCTCCATCCTACGCTCCCTCACCCACATCTTTAATCTCTTCCTCTCCACTGGCACATTCCCCTCCCCTCTGAAGCACGCGCACATCACTCCCATACTTAAAAAAGCCTCCCTGGATCCCACCGACCTAAACAACCTTAGACCCATCTCCCTGCTGCCATTTACATCCAAACTCCTTGAGCACTTAGTCTATAATCGCCTGAGTTCCCACCTCACCAACAACAACCTCCTTGATCCCCTACAGTCTGGCTTCCGTCCCCTACACTCCACCGAAACCACCCTACTCAAACTCACAAACGACCTGCTAACCACCAAAGCTAATGGCCACTACTCAGTGCTCCTACTCCTCGACCTTTCCGCGGCTTTCGACACGGTCAACCACCCCCTCCTCCTCAAAAAACTATACTCTCTTGGCCTCAGAGACTCCGCTCTCTCCTGGCTCTCTTCCTATCTATCACAGCGCTCCTTCAGTGTTACCTATAATGCTGCCACTTCCCCCTCACTCCCCCTCTCTGTTGGGGTCCCTCAAGGTTCCATCCTCGGGCCCCTTCTCTTCTCCATCTACACCTCCTCCCTTGGCTAACTGATACACTCCCACGGCTTCAACTACCATCTCTATGCCGATGACACGCAAATCTATCTCTCTACCTTTCGCCTCACCCCTTCAGTCTCCACCCGAATCACTAGCCTACTGAACAATATATCAGATTGGATGTCACTCCACATCCTCAAATTAAACCTGTCCAAAACCGAGCTCCTAGTTTTCCCCCCAGCCCCCCCCCCCGACTTCTCCATCACGACCAACAACGCCTCCATCAGTCCCACCCCGCAAGCCAGAGTACTAGGTGTCATTCTAGACTCCAATCTGTCCTTCCAGCCCCAGGTCCAATCGCTGACAAATTCATGTAGACTCCACCTCTGCAACATCTCTAAAATACGTCCGTTCCTAACCCCAGGAACTACTAACTAACTCATTCACTCCCTTATTATTTCACGACTTGACTACTGTAACACCCTCCTCACTGGTTTACCTCATCACTGGCTATCACCGCTTCAGTCTATCCTGAATTTTGCGTCCAGACTCATCCACCTTACTAACCGCTCCGTATCCGCCACCCCCCTCTGCCAATCCCTCCACTGGCTTCCGATTGCCCAACTCATAAAATTCAAATTACTAACATTGACGTACAAAGCTGTCCATAACACTGCCCCAAACGACATCACCGACCTGATATCCATATACCACCAAAAACTTACTCTCCGCTCCTCACAAGACCTCCTACTCTCTAGTTCCCTGGTCTCCTCCTCCCATGCCTGTCTCCAGGACTTCTCCAGGGCTTCCCCCATCCTCTGGAACTCACTACCCCAATCCATCAGACTATCACCTACTCTCCTCACCTTTAGGCTACCCTGAAAACCCATCTCTTCAGGGAAGCCTACCCCGCCCTCACACCTAATTGCCGATCTCCTCCACTCTTCCTACCACTCCATCCCCCACAGCTATTTCCTCCTGTACCACTATCCCCTCCCTCCTAGATTTTATGCTCCAAGGAGCAGGGCCCTCAAACCCATCGTGTATTGTACTGTTTTGTTACTGTACTGTCTCGAGTACTGTCTCCCATTATAATGTACAGCACTGAGCAAACTGTTATATATAAATACTGTATAATAATAGTAATAATAATGTACCCTTCATCTGCTATGCTGATAGGTTGAAACCCTGTCTACCACAGGTGAACTAGTCAAAGAATTCCCATTTCCTTATTTCATCTGCACTTAACTGGGTAATTGAAGGGAATATTCACGCAATTTATTATGTGAATATTTGAGAATTATTCTCAAATCCTTTGGTAAATCAGCCTCACTGTACAGGGCTTACTACATTACAGTTACAGACATATTTGGTTTATGAATTATGGGATATTAGAATTATATCTTATGTACTGTATGTAGTAGCAATATAAATGCAAGTGAGATTCAACTTACAGATGGTTTTTCCTCCTGGTCCATAGGTATAGGTGGTTCCATACAAGGATGATAGTGCATTAACTGCGCCTTCTGCAAGAGCAAACTAAAATAAACAAAACACATTGTTAAAATAGTGTTATTTATTTTAAAGGCATTCTATAGTTACAGCATACAGTATAATTTCATTTTATAACATCAGCATTGTAATAGTAATACAAATGATAGTTACTTGAAAAATCTTATTTTGTTTTGTGTGCTGCCTGTTTGCTGGCCATCTCTTGGCCACTTCTTGGATTCCCTGCATGCTTTGCAGCTTCTCCTAATAATAATATGTTTGCTTTACTGTTAATTTCTAAGGATTATATATTTCATGATACTATACAGAAATGATGTGGAGTGTTTCGTGTAGTGACTGTGACCCCTGCAATTCAGAAGGCAGGTTCCATGAAATACGTGCCACAGCAGGGCAAATTTACAGGGGAATAATGTTTATAGCCAGGTGCTGGCTATATCATTATGCCATTCAGGGACATTTACAGATGAGACTATGGTTAATCCTTTTTCCTCCAGTGCCTAGTACTGAGATTGTATCCAAAGTGTATCCAATTTTTCTGACAGCAAAGGATCTTGGGACCTGTAGTCCTATAGCCAATACATCCTGTACTCCAACTAGAGAGCTGGGGAAGGAGAAGGTTGCTGGGAAACAGATATATTCTACAGCATGGGACTGGCTCTCTCTCTTGGCATGGGATTCAGAGCTGAATACAGGAGGACTGACATTCTCCTCCCAAGACAGATTGCTGGCCTACTGAAGCAGGACTCTGCACATCAGTTCAGCACAATGGTGACCAAGATCACATCAGCTTCTCTGCATCAGGACTGTTACTGTCTGATCTTCACATAGACTTCTCTACTCACCGTGCTGACAGGCCATCAGGGGGTAACTCTACACTTCAATGCAAACAACCAAGAGCCTCGGCAAGAATCTCATTCCTAGGAGACCATGCTATCCATAGGATTGGTGAGTGAGCTTAGATACCACATGCAGGCATATTTACACCTCAGTTACCAGGAGACAGTTGCTTCAAGCAGTACCGTGGCTTATCTGTTTAACTTCATTGAATTACCAGTATTCACTAATGTTTATGGTCCCCACCATTGCTAGCAGAAGACAGTAGATACCACCATATCAGTAACTTTAAACATCACATGACTCAAGTTGCAATCTCTAGTTAAAGAGACTTTTTCTCTTCTAAGGTTATTGTTATTCAATTTAGGACATTTATATCTATTTATGCTGCAGTATATATTTACATAATTCTCTGCATGCCCTGTTGCGGTGCCAGTGGCACAGAGGGAGCTGATAAGTCAACAAGCTTTTTCTTCCGCCTCTTGCTGCTGGTTTTGCAACTAAATAGTTGAAGCTTACTACTCACAACTGTATAACCTGTTAAACGTTGCTAATTGATTATTCCTATTTTACCAGTGTTCTGCTTTTAACTGCGGTTGTATATCCTAAACCTAGGTAGCTTACTCTTTTGAACAAGTCTAATATAGAGGTCTTACTAAAGAATTGTGTCTCTTTCATTAGTATTTTATACTGTTTAAATATATCTGAACCCAGAGTGTCAGAGGTGTCAGGGGGCTTGAAAAGTCAGGGCAACCACTGGGGACAAACATTATCAAGTGGCCGCTGCGGGGGTAGCGCTACATGTGTCACAGCATTCAAGGAAGTAAATGTATGGGATTCTTGAAAAAAATGAAAAAAGATCATTCAGATTAATAGAAGTAGGCTAGCAGTAATTCAAATGAAATTTGCAAATTAATATAGAATTTT